TAGCACGGCCTTCATGGTATCCCAGAGATTTTTATATGTTGTATCACTATACTCATTTACCTCTAAGTATTTTTTAATTTCATTTTTTATTTCTTCTGGTATCCACTCGTCATTCAATAGCATATTATTTAGTCTCCAGGTGTTAGAGTAGCTTCTATTTTTAATTCTATTGTCTATTTCTAATTCCATTCCATTATGATCTGATAGGATGCAGGGTATTATCTCTATTTTTTTTGTATTTGTTAAGAGCTGCTTTATGGCATCAGATATGGTCTATTTTAGAGAAGGATCCTTGTGCTGCTGAAAAGAAAGTGTATTTGCTCATTGATGGGTGAAATATACTATATATGTCTGTTAAGTCTAAATTATTAATTGTATTATTGAGTTCTGTAGTTTCTTTGTTTAGTTTTGGTTGGAAGACCTATCCAGTAGTGTCAGAGGTGTGTCAAAGTCACTAAGTATTATTGTGTTGTGGTTTATTTGATTCTTGAAGTTGAGAAGAGTTTGTTTGATGTATGCATCTGCTCCACTGTTTGGGGCATATATATTTATGATTGTTATGTCTTATTGATGTATAATTCCCTTAAGCAGTATGAAATGGCTGGCTTTCTCCCTTCTGATTAACTTTGGCTTGAAGTCTACTTTATGTGATATGAGGAGAGAAACCCCTGCTTGTTTATGCAATCCATGTGAGTGATGTTTTTTCCCATCCTTTCACCTTCAGTCTGTGGAAGTCTTTGCCTATGAGGTGAGTCTATTGGAGACAGCATATTGTTGAGTCTTTTTTTTTTAAAAAAATATTTTTTAGCTGTAGTTGGACACTACCTTTATTTTATGTATTTATATGTGGGGCTGAGGATCAAACCCAGTGCCTTGCATGTGCGAGGTGAGCACTCTTATCACTGAGCCACAACCCTAGCCCCTGTTGAATCTTGTTTTTTAATCCAATCTTCCAGTGTATATCTTTTTAAAAATTTATTTATTTTAATTAGGTATATATGACAGCAAAATGCACTTTGATTCATTATTAACAATTGCAGCACAACTTTTAATTTCTATAGCTGTACACGATGTAGCGTCACACCCTTTGTGCAGTCTTACATGTATCTAGGGTAATGGTATCCATCTCATTACACCATCTTTCCTGCCCTCATGCACCCTATCCACCCACCCTCCTCTTTGCCCAAAGTTCCTCCATTTTTCCCATATTTTCCCCCTCTCCATTTTGGATCAGCATCCACTTATCAGAGTGGATTTTTGGCATTGGCTTACTTCACCTAGCATGAGATTCTTTAACTCCACCCATTTACCTGCTTATGCCATGACTCTATTCTCTTTTAATGCTGAGTAATATTCCATTTGGTATATATGCCACACTTTCTTTATCCATTCATCTATTGAAGGGCATCTAGGTTGCTTCCACAGTTTAGCTATTGTAAATTGAGCTGCTATGAATATTGATGTGGCTGTGTTACTGTAGTATGCTGATTTTAAGTCTTTGGGGTATAGACTGAGGAGTGAGATAGCTGGGTCAAATGTTGGTTCCATTCCAAGTTTTCTAAGGAATCTCCATACTGCTTTACAGATTGGTTGGACTAATTTGCAGTCCCACCAGCAATGTATGAGTGTGCCTTTCCCCCCATATCCTCACCAACATTTATTGTTGTCTGTATTTTTGATAACTGCCATTCTGACTGACATGAGATGAAATGTTAGTTTTGATTTGCATTTCTCTAATTACTGGAGATGTTGAATTTTTTCATATATTTGTTGATTGAATGTATATCTTCTTATGAGAAGTGTCTGTTTAGAACCTCCCCACATTTTTTTATTACACTATTCCAGAAGTGAACTTAAATCCCAGCTCCACCTGTGCTAGTATGTGACATAAGCTTTATAAGCCTTAATTTCTTCATCTATAAAATGCAAAATCAGTGCTAAATGGGGTGGTTACTGTAAGAATTAAATGAGATAATAAATATGAAACATTTAACACTAGATGCTTTAATTATCAAGAAGAAAAATTATTCTTATACTGACTGAAAGATGTATACAATTAATAGATATATAGTCATGTAAAAATAGTGAGCTCAGAATACTAGGACTCATCAGCAGTGCTCTGTCATTTTTAGGGTTTTATGAGCAATAACTTTGGGGAACTTTTCTTTAAATTATTATTCTAATTTGTTATACATGACCTCCTCTATTCTGCCATCTTGGATCTCCCTTTTTTTAGTATTTCTTATAGGGCAGTTGTAGTGTACTAAACGCCCCCGCTTTTGTCTGGGAAAATCTTAATTTTTCCCTCATCTTTGAAGGACAGTTCAAAGATATAAAATTCTCAGTTGACAGTTTTTCCCCCTTTAAACAGCATTTTAAACATACTATCCTGTTGCTTTTGGCCTGCAAGCCTTTTGCTGATAAAAATCCATGACAGTTTTATTGAGGCCTCATGAATGATGAGTTACTTTTCTCTTGCTACTTTCATGATCTTTGCTTCTATCCTTTCTCAGGTCTTATGTATATTGGTGTGAGTCCTTTGGGTTATTCACAGAGTTCCCTTAGGTTTTGGGTTTGTATATTCATGCCTTTCTTCAAATTTGGTTAAGTTTTCAACCATTATTTTGTCATCAAATAGATTTTCCTGCTCCTTTCTCTCCTTATTCAGGGACCCCCATTAAGCATTTATTGGTTGTTTAATAGTGTCCCTTAGCTCTGTTCTCTTTTTCCTTTCTTCCTTCCTTTTGAATTTCAAATGACCTGTCTTCAAGTTTGTTAGTTCTTTCTTCTGCTTGAGTTTGCTTTTATAAACTATACTGAATCCCTGTGGTATCAGTTGTTATGTTTTCAGGCCAAGAATTTCAATTTTTTTTATAATTTCTATTTTTTTGTCCATGTATCGATTTCCTGGTTTTCTTAATTCTCTGCATTTTCCTTTAATCTCTGAGCATAGTTAAGACAGTTGTTTGAAAGTCTTTTAAAAGTCTAGAGTGCCTGATACTTGTTTAAGATAATATCTGTATAATTATTTTGTTTATTTTTCCTACTTCTTTATATTCCTTATGACATTTTATTAAAAACTGGGCATTTGAAAAAATAGCCCCTCTCCCAGTCTTTGTAGACTGCAAGACCTTTGCTAGTTCATGGGACCATGAGCCCTTAAGATTAGTCCAGGATTTCCCAGGTCTTTTGTGGGCATGTTTCCTCTTTCTGGGTGTTTTAGCAACTTGGTTTGCTTTGGACAAATGGTCTTGATTTCCTCTGGGTGGTCGTTCAAATCCCAGTTTGGTTCTCAAAGCTTTTGCTTTGTTGATTTGTGCGTCTCATTCCTCAACGTAAGATTGGGACTGGTTCATACAGAGAACTGGGGGAAGTTCTTTCTCTTTGCTCTGTGACTCTCTTCTTTCACTCTTGAGCTCCCAAGGAGTTCTCTTCTTGGCCAGAAAGTTGTTTTTGTTTCCCTCAACCTCTGCTTAGTTGGCCATTCCATGGTTACCATAGTTCCACTTCACAATGAGGTTCTGCCTTGGACGTAGCATTCTCATACTCAGGAGAAAACTCAGCCAACTATTTACTTCCTACAATCTGGGAAGATCATCTCTATGCAGTGGCTTTTCTGAATTTTGGTGCTTTTCACAATCCACCTACTTTTGCTTAATCTCAGCATCCTTAAGTAGTTATTTTCCATATTTTCCCCAGGTTTAGCTGTAATTAGTGGGCAGATAATAGTTAACACATACTGTCACAGTGGTATTGGAACTCTGCCTGGGTTTTTAATTTTTTCACTGGTATATGAAAACATAAAATTGTACATATTAATGGGATAATGTCATGTTTCATCACAATGAATATATTGTATAATGTTTACATAGGCTTAAACATACTTTATCTTTTTTCTGGGTTTTTGTCTGCATATTTGGTATTTACTGGGAGTTTACCTCAGAAAGTATGTTAGTTAGCTTTTCATCATTGTGACAGGTACCTGAGAAAATCAACACAGAGAAGGAAAGATTTATTCGGGGTCACTGTTTCAGAGGTTTCAGTCCAAGGTTGACTGGTTCCACTGCTTCCGGGCTTGAAGCAAGGCATAAAGAATATCAAGGTGACGGGAGCATGTGGCAGAGGAGGTTGCTCATCTCATGGCACTCAGGAAGCAAAGAGTCAGAAATGAGCCGAGGACAATACTTGCCTTTCTAGGCATGCCCCAAGTGACTTGCTTCCTTCAACCAAGCTCCACCTTGTGGAGTTTCCATCGCCTCCCGATAATGCCATCAAACTATCCATCAATGGATAAATCCACTGATGAGGTCAGAGCCCTCACGATCTAATCACATTCCCAATTTTAAGGTAACCCCATCTCTAAAAACTGCTATGTTGGGGACTAAGCCTTCAACACATCAGTCTTCGGGGGGCTTTCCAGATCCAAGCCATCTCTTCAATCTCTAGGTCTTAAGATGGACAATTATAAAAGCAACAGTGCTTACCTCATGTTAGATTTCTGGCATCTTTTTTTTTTTTTTTTTTGGTAGGGGGTGATTAAATATAATGATGAGCATTAAGCACTAGTAAGTGCCCAACAGACATAATGGTTATTTCTAGTCATATATTTTCTATAGGACTGGACATTTTATGTATGATTAGTGAAACAAAAAAGAAAAATTAGAAATAAAAAGTTACAGGTTTGGTGGGTTATTTACCTGGAAGCTGATTCTGGAAGGAAAGGTCAAAAAGGAAAAAAAAAAAATAAAGTATTTAAAAAAGCAAAATATTCCATGCCAATTTTGTAGCCCTTGGAACTGCATCTCCAGTCCTTGTCAGGTGTCTCTTATAAAATACCACATTGAACAAGAAGGAGGGCTCCATACCAATAAGGAGCACTGCTCTCCAATGATACAACCCGTTTCCCCTCCATGCCTCTTTATTAAATTGGGGGAAAAAAAGAAACTAAGATTCTTATTTGTTTTCTAGTAACTCGCTCCTTGCATTTGCTCCCTTGCTAGATGGCTGAAAAAGGACATGCAACCCACCGAGGATCTCAAGTCAGTAATTCAAAGGATGTCAATGTTTGGCCCGATTCAGTCAGTCACCGCGTGTGGACATCAAAGTGCTGTAGTGGTGTTCAAGAATGTAACTTCAGCGTGTAAAGCCGTGAACGCTTTCCAAAGCAGGATCCCACTGTTCCACTGTTCCTGGCAGCATCGATTCATGTCGAAAGATGTAAGACTTTCTAGTTCCAATAACCTACGTGAATTCTTAAAGCTTGTTTCATAAGTTTTTATTCATTAGGGCTGTAAGTAAAATATTCTCATCATAATTGACATACAGCACTGGAAAAAGGCCCAGTGAAGTTTATTTAGTTAAAATCAGCACTAACCGCATACCCTTCCTTTGATGGTCTTAACTCTTCTCTAAGTGGTTGTCACAGTTTTGATTTTCTGGATACAAAGTTCATGAGAGCATTCATGCATTCCTCTGACAGCCACCTTCCCTGGAGGACAGTGCATTCTTCAGCATTAATGGCATGTAGCTTTTCTTTCTCATTACTTCTGATCAACTCCTTTGAAATCCTCAAGGACTGATAAAACAAAACCAACAGGAAGATTAAGAGTTCTTCTAACAGCAGTGGGATATTCAGTAATTCTGGTTCTTATTTCTCCCATGTTCACTTAACTAATTCTGTAAGACACATGTGTAATAATAAGACAGTGCTTCTCAACCTTTTATGTGCATATGAATCACCTTAGTACTTCTGGGGCAGGTCTATGATTATATGTTTTCAAAAAGTTCCAGATGAATGCTAAAACTTCTGATTCCAGGATCACATTTTGAATAGCAAGAATAAAAGAGCAGTCAGTCATTAACTACCCCATATAAAAAAAAGTAACAATCTCCTTATTGTGAAACCTCTCTCCTCTCTGGTTTTTCATCTGAATTCCAAAGTAAAAGAACTCAGAAACTACTGCTTATAATCTAAAGTTATCTCCACAAAGAATTGCCCCTTGGCCCTGTACCATAGGAACAAAATATCTATTTCATAAGTTTTATAAAAATCAGTATTTCCAACATCATTAGTTATTTTTTTAAAGATTTGTTTTTTGTAGTTGTAGATGGACATCATGCCTTTATTTTATTTGTTTATTTTTATGTGGTGCCAAGGATGGAAACCAGTGCCTCATACATGCTAGGCAAGACCTCTGCCACTGAGCTCCAGCTCCAGCACTAACAGTAATTATTTTTAACCTCAAATTTCGATGTGCTTAAAATCAACTAAAGATAATGTCTTTTCTTTATGACTTATTCCCTTAAGGTTTACACATTTTTCCCCTGGGGAAATTATTTTCAAGGTTTCTACAAGTAAAAGGTGAAGACTTACATTTGTGGGGAGTTTTGCATATGCTTTCAGCCTGGTCCAAACTTCTTTCTGGAAAGTGCTTTCAGGAAAAACTTCTGTAACGAGGCCTCGAGCACATGCCTCTCCTGCTGTTAACTTCCTCCCCAAAATAAGCATCTCAGCTGCCTGAAATAAAAAGCAAAGTTAAGACACTACCTTAATAAAAACAAAATTTAAGTTAACTGCAGAACTGACTGCTTTCAGAAGGCAAAGATTTGTTCATGGTCTTTTAAAGTTGCTTATATTCTCAATGAGGGAGAAGCTGATGACCTCAATGGGGCAACAGTTTGCAAACTGTGTGTGGAGACCACTGCAGGCTTCCATCTCTGCAAGGGCTAGACGGGCAACCATTTCTGTCCACCCAGGTTTGAAGAGGTAAGAATGGGCAAAGGCAGAAAGGACCTGAACCACGGCAGATGACCTACTGCTTTATAAACTATAATGATTACAAAAAAGGGTTAAATAACAACAACTCACAGTTTTGGGTCAAATGCTAGACATTTTCAAAATTCCATTACCTCGTGGTTTAGCTCTGATAAACCTGGTTTAGCTTTGACAGTTTTCTTTACCTATGTAGGCACTCAAATTATTTTACTTGACTTAAAGAAGTAAAGATGACTCAAATTGCATTTCTTAAAAAAAAAAACTAAAAATAAAAAGTCCATGAGATGATTAAGTGGATGTCCTTTCTCTGTTTGCAGTTTGTCTTCCAGAAAAGCAAACACTATTCCAAGTGCTCTAAGCCTTCAAGTTGGTTCTGCTCCACTTTCCAAACCTGTATAATGATTTGGGGTATATGGCAGCAAAATGAGATTAAAAGAAGAAATATTTTCATCAAAAACCTAGCAGCCAATGAACAGGCACAATCTCACCCCCGGCCTCTGAGATCAGGAAGCATGTTGGCTAAGCCTTTCCCTACGCCACGCTCTCCAGCTGTGTCACAATCCCTTGGAGTCATGTACCAAGCATGGGTAACTAGGTTTCCATAACCACAGGGAAAGACCTGAGCAGCCACTTGGGAGTGGCTTGGGAGTCTCTTAATATCTTTCAAAACAGGCTGACAGAAAGGCTATTGCTATTGGGAGTGGCTTTGGAAATATCCACGAGGCCCCACATTTCCTAGTATTTCATATGACTCTGAAAGTGAAGATGCTGGTGTACCATGTTCAGTGGATGTGGCTCATCCATTTAGTAACTAAGTGGCCCTCAGCTGAGCAGACCTAGGGGGCTGGGCACAGTCCTTGTCCTCCCACTATGCCACAGCTGTGGAGAACAAGATCTTGTGCTGCTTGCAATGAGATAGCATCAGGCAACTGGCTGAAAGGAGTGACCCAGTTTGGGAAGTTGCAGAAAATTTCCAATTTTCTTTAAGACCAGACACTTCCTAAAGCTTGGTTCCTCCACTTGTAAAACCCTTAGAGTTGGAGGTCAAATAGTTTCTATCTCTTTGTACATATCAGTAAGGGAAAGAAGAGAGAGTATGGGGTTATATTTGGAAGAGGAATGAAACATTAAACATTACTTTTAAGCTTCCCAGAAGTTACCTTGGCGGGGCCCATTATCTTCGGAAAAGTGTAAGAGGCACATCCCTCTGGGCTTTGGCCAAGTTCACTAAATGGAGTGTGAAATGTTGCCTATTTGGGGAGGGGGAAGAAAAGAAAACCATTTTAAAAAAATCACCACTTAATCATAATTTCAAAATGCTTAACAAAAAAATGTAGATTAGGATTATGCAGTGTGAAATCCACTCTTTTCAAGTCTTTGTTCAATGACACAGTATATTTTTAACATGGCCTTTGGTGGTCAATCCCTTCCTTCTTGCCATCCCTGTGCAATCACTAATTGGCTTTCTGTCCCTGTAGTCTGGCTTTTCTAGCATGCTATATAAATGGAATCCTATGTTCCAAAGCCTTTGAGTCTCACTTCTGTCCCCTGGCCTAAAGCTTCTGGGAATCACCACACTGTTGCATATTAGCCTGCTTCTTGTTACTGTTGAGTAGAAATCCACTGTACGGATAATTTGTATAATTTGCTTACCCATTTGCCATTGGAAATGCCACTGGTATTGTTTCCAGTACTTTGTGCACAAAACTGTTTAGAAAAATATCAAGTTGTTTTGATATACACAATTTCTTTTTGTCAATTACTCCTCAATGAAGCTGAAGAAAAATTAAATATTTTTCAGATAATTCTAACAAAATAAGGTTGTTGTGAAAAGGTAGCTCTGGGTAAACATGTTTTCAGTACTTGTTGGTGAATACCCACCAGTGTAATTGCTGGGTTGTGTGGAAAGTTACGCTGAACTTAAGAGAATAGCAGAGTCTGGACACTACTACCAGCCCCATTTGCTCCACCTCCTCACTATACTTTATTATTAAAAGTCCTTTTAATTTTAACCATATTCATGGGTGTGGAGCAGTCTCACCTTGTCCTAGTTTACATGTTGCTAATTATCAATGATGTTGAACATCTTTTCATGTACTTATATTAGTTATATTCACATCTTTGGTGAAGAACTGCTTATGTATTTTTCTTGGTGTTTTTAAAGTTAGACTCTTAACCTTCTTTTTATTGATTTGTAAGTTGTCTTTTATATTCAGGTTATGAGTCTCACTGTAAATCTCATGCAAATAATAATATTCTGGTGTGGATTATCTCTCCATTTTCTTTTTTTTTTTAAAGTTATTTTTTAGTTGTAGTTGGACACAACACAATACCTTTATTTTAATGTGGTGCTGAGCTTGAACCCAAGGCCTCACATGTGCTAGGTGAGCACTCTACCACTGAGCCACAACCCCAGCCCTCTCTCTCCATTTTCATAATGGGTGTTTCTCATATAGTTTCAAAAGTCATTTATTTTCTTTTCTGTGAAGGATTTATTCCTCTTTACTGCCCGTTTTTATATTAGGTTGGTAATTTATATAGATATACCTTAAAATATTAAGAGAGATTAGCCTCTTATGTGGGTTGAAAAATTGTTTCAATTTCCTCAATCTTTCGTTTGTCTTGGTGACTTAAGAGTTTTTAATCCAACCCCCACCCCCGACTGGTATTAGATACTAAATCAATCTTGATATTGCTTATTTGGAATACAATCATTTTTAATATTTTTCTAGATTTACTGTATTAAAGTATTAAGTATTAAAGTATTAAGTATTTTTCTATATTCTTTTTTTTTAAAGAGAGAGAGAGAGAATTTTTAAATATTTATTTATTTATTTTTTTAGTTTTTGGCAGACACAACATCTTTGTTTGTATGTGGTGCTGAGGATCGAACCCGGGCCGCACACATGCCAGGCGAGTGCGCTACCGCTTGAGCCACATCCCCAGCCCCTTTTTCTATATTCTTGATGACCAATAAATCTTTATGAAGGAGAATTAATTTATAACTGATAAGATATAAAAGAATATTTAGATTTTATTTCCTATAGTCAAGCATGGTCTTTTTTAATGCATATTTCTCAGAAGATATAAATGTATAATGTATGCAACATATAAAGAAAAATATAAAAGAACATGTTCTTATTAATATCATTCATCTTTTTCTCCCCTCATAAAGAAGTATTATTCCAAGAATAAGTGAGGCCGGGTACGGTGGTACAGGCCTATAATCCTAGTGATTTGGGAGGCTGAGGCAGGAGGATCACCAGTCCGAGGCCAGCCTAAGCAACTTAGAGAGGCCCCAAGCAACTCAGCAAGACCCTGTCTCTAAATACAATGTTAAAAAAGGCTGGGGATGTGGCTCAGTGGTTAAGCACCCCTGGGTTCAATCTCTGGTACAAAAAAGAAAAAACAGTGAGATGACACAGACTAAGGAATATCACCTGAAAACTGAATGAAAATACCAACCAGACCTAGGGGGCCACAGACACATACAAACAAACTGATGATCAGCAGCAATCAGAATG